GGGGACAACTGTCAGTGGACAACATATTGTCTATTAAAGGCTTCCATAGTACCCTGGACTGCAATATATGATCTCTGTGCTAGATGGGTGTAAAAACTACACAGTGTACTGTACCTTTAAGTCCCTCAAATCTAACAGAAAACTGCATTACTCCGTTCGCACACTAGGCAGAGCCATTCCCTCAGCTTTGGGTCAGTGTGTAACAAGCACAAGCAAGTGACCTGAAATATTCTGTAAATGTTACGCTTATCACAGCAATCTGCGTTTGGACAATAACGTCATAGATTTTTACAGATGAAATCCACTTAATTTCAAAGATGGGTTATTCAATTTCTCTCTTTTCAATTAATATGATTTATTTTGCATAATGCCTCAGTTCTATCCTGGACGCTCAAAGTTTCTGCACAGCATTATTCATTCACTCAACACAGAGTTGTGATACACCAGTACTCTTGCCACAGCTGCCCTGGGGCACAATAGCAGATGCGAGGCAACCAGTGTTGTTGGCCCCACCCACCATCCAACAACCATTCACACACATACCAGACCTTAAATGGGTGAAGTGTCTTGCCTAAGGACACAATGACAGTTTGGCACTTTACCGCCGCAGCTGCCCCTACTGTAGGACCTGGTGTTCCCAGAGGTCTCCCATCATAGGAGTGGCACCACTTAGCAAACCTCTAAGAGAGAGCCCTGTGAGTCACTTATTGGACTCTTGATTGGCTGAGTCCTCTCTTTTTCACTTCTGTCTGGGGACGAGCTGTTTTAGTGAATACTGAGGTCTATGGGGAAATCTAACAGCCCATAAGGATTTTGTCTGCAGTACCGCTGGTGGCCTCTAGTCCACGCAGAGACAGGTTTAGTCAGCAACACACTGTATATAATATCACACATCCATGATCAGACCACACTCAGACCATAGACCTCCTCACGTGGTCTTGGTGAGGTCTATCAGTGAGGGACAGAGGCAGCTGTTACCAAAGTAAGACTCTTTATTTGAATTTGTTCAACTTTGACACAGCAACAATTAATTTACACTGGCTCCCAGGGGCCCGCGGACAAAGACAGTTACAGTACGGGCCGAGCAACCAATCAGAACGCTGGATGAAGCCGCGCCCACACACACATAAACACACTTTCATCAGTGGCAGACCAACAGAGAATCTCCCGCACATGATCCAGCGGTTTGTGATTCGCCAACAGATACTCAGCTGTAAGAGATGGGAATAAAGTTGTTTTGATATTTCTGCACTTTTAGACTTTTAAATGTTTCAAACTAATTTAGTACACTTATGGACATTGGTCATCCCCCTTTATGGACCAATGATTGTATGTATTTATTATTGTTGCATTTCCTGTGTTTGAACCTCTGATCTGTTGTTGGCAAATCAACCACTCCTCAGAGATAACTACTGTTATCATTTAGGGTGGTACAAAAATGAAATGAATTGAATTAGTTCCATAACACTAGAACTCCCAGAGCAGTCAAATTGACAGCTGTAATGACTGCTCAGGTACATGTGTGTTTTTCATAACTTCGTAACTTCGCAAAATGAGGCCCTCTGTGTAGTCTTCGAGATCATAAAGACCAGATCATCCAGCCAACTTCAGCTCTGCCAACACAGACATGGACTGTGTTGCGAAGCTCAGGATCTCTGGAATCCAGTTGATGACTTTGTTTGACTGTACAGGCATTTGTATCTGATTGTTTGGCGCCAATGGACATTTATCATTCAGGCAACTTCAGCTCTGCCAAACCTGAAGCAATATAGACCTGTCACACCGCATTTTAAACCTCAGAACTGCCGTAATCTAGTCAATCCTACACACTTTTGATGAACTACAGTGGCTCTTACTGAAAGGTTTAGACACCCCTGACATATGTGAACAAAAATATTAATAAGTACAGGGTTTCTTTGCTCTGTTGGTCTAGAGACACTCACACACACTCACACGAGACACAGGACAGACAACACGCTGGGTCTATCAGCTACAGCTCTAGTGAACATAGACAGCCTAAAGTGCACACACACACACACCTCTACTCTCCTCCACTACAGCGATACCCCGATGCCACTTGAGCCCCTCCCCCCGACTGGGCTTTGCATGGTGAGACAGGGGCCCCTTCTACACAGAGCTATAAAAACACTGGAAACATGACCCTTGTAAAGAAATAAATAAATTATTCCACACAAACTGGCTCTCGATAGATGAAAGGAAACCCGGGCTGGAGTAATCAACAGATCAAAATCATATAAAATATCCCATTGTTTAATTTTGGTTTTAAAGCTGGGGTACCTATAACATAAATTCTTTCAGATAATACTTTTGATTTCATTCAACAGAAAAAGTCTGGTATAAGTAAAATGTTGTGCAGATACGAAAAGACAAGTTGTCTACACACAATAGAAAATCCTGTGTGTAAGAATGATTTTTTCACTTTTCTGTCTTATAAAGCTGAGAGGCCAAAGAACATTCATGCTAAAACTAGTGATAGTGACTGTTTTTAGAAATACACAGTAATACTGTAGAGTACCCCAGCTTTAAACCTCTGTGCTGTTTCTACTGTCAAAAAAAGCTTTTCACAAATCCAACATCATTCCCGTCAAGATTGAGGATGCAGAGAGCTTATTTTGCAACATAATGCTCTGTGACAAAACATATTTCAAGTCTTTTATTATTATTATTATTTTCTTGCAACACATCTCCAGGTCCGTGTCCGTGGTTACATTTCTGCTTGGAGACAGGCAAGGTCTGTGTAGAAGGGGCTGCTGACGCTGCATAGTTCATGTTTTAGTCTTGAGTCATTATTGCAGAGAGTATGGGTCCATGGGTGACAGGGTTAGTCCGGGAAGGAGCCATACTGCCATCTCACCCAAAATCTATTTCATTACATGTTAAAAACCTGTCCTGGATGCCGAGAATATAGCCCTATGCTTCATGTAAAATGCAAGGTATTCCCCAGGGTTCAGTACTTGTCCCTCTACTTGTCCTTGTACTCTTTTACATTTAGTTATGTCGTCTTCTGCGACTTTTTATTTAATGTCTTTTTACTGATCTGATGAATGCAATAATATTTCATTAATTTTATTTCTTGAAAGTATAGGCTGTATATTTGGAGCGGACTGACCAAGTGACATCACCATAGTGTTGGCTTGAAAAGGCTTGAACATAAGCGGGCATTGGTCACTGTGTGAATCATGTTGTGATTAAAGACATCTGATTGGTCAATACTTGGCTCATATGTGGATATACAAAGACAATATAATACATCTGTTCATAGTGATCTAATAGTTACTCCTTGAGATCACACTGTTGTGGTCAGAATCCTCCTATTTAAAAAACATTAAAACTTACAGCTGAGTGTAATCCTGCAAGTTACCAGGGACCAGTGCACATCGTGACAGTGTTTTTGAAGACATTTAATGCTTGTCTTGGTTAAAATCATAGGATTTGATATTGGGTCTGTCTTCTATCTGTGTATATCTGCAGGGTGTGGGGAGGGAGAGGCGGCAGTATGGCGGTCCCGGCTGCATAGGGGAACTCCGTGGAGCAAAGTGCGCGATGCAGGAGCTGTACAAGGTGAAGGTAGCAGAGAACGAGGCTTCCGAAGCACAGCAGACAAATGATCACTGAGGAGGAGTTCAGAAAACCTCCATCACCATCATACTTCTTTGATTTCAGTAGATCAGACGTGAAATGATCTGCCAGCAACAGTTTGAGTCTTTCACCTTTAGGAACAGGTTTCTAAGCGTCAAGCTTTATTATATCATTAACTCTATCTAATCTACTCTACCCCGATTGGGAGTGTTTCCACTGGCCCTGTTTAACCAGTACCAGCTCTTTCTTTAGTCCCTCTTGGCCCTGGTTCTATCCAGGCCGAGCTGGTACTAATGTTGTCTCACTGACAGAAACAGAGATTGTAACTGCCAAAGAGCTGCTCGGGGCCATGTTTGGAGAGGAATTTCCGTGGATTCTGGGTAGGTTTCTAGGATTATAGTAGAGAGTAGAATAGAGAAGAGGTGGTGGAAACAGGGCTGTAGTCTCTCTGTCAAATACACCTACATGTTCATTGGATGTTCAAGTAATTTGAGGCTTTATTGCTAAGAGAAAATGATTGATTCACCTACCATTTCCACCAATTTCTGTTTTACCGGTGAGTATTCAGGTCAAACCCGTTGAAAAAGTGGACATTTTAAAATAAAAGACTTTTGGCATTGATCTATAAGGACCTGGCAGTTCTAAGGCCTGTGGTTTTCAATGAACCTATTACTAGTATTAAAAGTTTTGAAATGCTCTTGGAAAGCATTCAGATTAGGGTTGTTTTTTTTTCATTTTTCCTTTATGTTTTGAGTAATGGAGTGGGTACATTGTCCAAATGGTGCAAACTAGTGATTTTGAATGGATTATTTATGGTGTAGTAAATTATATTGTTAAACAAAAGAGTCATTGATTATCAGAGAAGCTATGAAGTGCTGTAAAAGCGTTATGGAAACACAACCAGGTAGAGTAGAGTCGACTAGGGCCAACATGGGCTCAAATGTTCAGGGAATTGGTTCCAAAAAAATGTATACTAACTCTGAGATTAAAATCATTCAGAAACTGCTCAGTCACATTTTTAGTGGTTCCTTTGAAGATGCAGGGTGTAAAGACTGGGACCTTTCTGCACATTTATTAACATTTCTGGACAGTGGTCATCCCGCTCCCTATGGATCAATGGTTCCTTTGTGTTTTTGTTATTATTATATTTCCTGTGTCTGAATATTGTAAAGTCCTCAGAGCTGTTGTGATTCAGGGCTAAACGCCAAGAAATTGAATTGAATACTTTTGACAACCCACATGTTCACGGTCTCTTTAAGAGAAAAACTCAAACTTGCAGATCATTTGACTTCTCGTCATAAATGTTCAATCCAAGAAAATACGTTTGCAGCTGGAGTCACCCTAACTGCTCCGGACGGTGCCTCTGCATAGTGTCCCGGGACAGTCCCTCTGGGCCTGGGTCAGTAGGGTGCGAAGAGGATCTGTGGGTGGGATGTCCTGACCGGGCCAGGGGCAGGTCGTAGCAATGGGGAGGAGAAGAGGGCGGGGCTGGGGGAGGGGCTTCCCGCTGGCATGCTCCGGTGGTGAGGGAAGCCGTTGCTCATGGCGACAGCGGCGGCGACAGCAGCCAGGTGCTGAGGGAGGATCGGCGAGCTGATCTGCTGGAGGTCTTTGCCCAGAGACAACTGCACCTGAAGAACAAGGAGAGAGGGGAAGGACCCCTGTTAGGGGTTGGTTTGGCTTCTAATACATAATATTACACATTATTTAAAAAATTACAGTGAGTCTATTTATGTTGTCATTGCATAGTTAAGAAAGTGAAAGAATATCTTCAGTTGAAAATATATAATAAAAAAAGTCTGAAGGGTATAATATGCTTTCTGCCTGTAATTCCCATATGCTGCCACCAGAGGGAGGTGCACAGTTTGACGTTTATTGGCTGTAACTACAATATAATTTGCAAACTACTCTGAATATGATGTCTTTGTGGTACAAGAAAATCACACTGTTACAGGACAGATTCCACGTTCATGCACCCAGATTCTATAGAATCTGTCGGCAAGACTATAGTCGACAAGACTATAGTCGACAAGACTATAGTTGATAAGACTATAGTCGGCAAGACTATAGTCGACAAGACTATAGTTGATAAGACTATAGTCGACAAGACTATAGTTGATAAGACTATAGTCGACAAGACTATAGTTGATAAGACTATAGTCGGCAAGACTATAGTTGATAAGACTATAGTCGACAAGACTATAGTTGATAAGACTATAGTCGGCAAGACTATAGTCGACAAGACTATAGTCGACAAGACTATAGTCGATAAGACTATAGTCGACAAGACTATAGTCGACAAGACTATAGTTGATAAGACTATAGTCGGCAAGACTATAGTCGACAAGACTATAGTTGATAAGACTATAGTCGACAAGACTATAGTTGATAAGACTATAGTCGGCAAGACTATAGTTGATAAGACTATAGTCGACAAGACTATAGTTGATAAGACTATAGTCGGCAAGACTATAGCCAATCTGAATTGGATCTAGTTCCATATTTATTTTCAATCACCATTCCTCCACTGTACTAATGTAATGTGACATTCATAAGTCTCTCCACAGAGCTGCAGTAACATCTACTGGGGTAAAAAGGCCAGAGCCTTCTTGCTCATCTGTAATGAAGAAGCTGAGCAGTAGCAGATAGAGACCAGAGAGAGATCAGAGAGGTGGACCAGAGAGTGACTAGAGAAAGACCAGAGAGAGAGAGGGAGAGACCAGAGAGAGAGAAACCAGAGATGGAGAGAGAGAGTGAGAGAGAGAGAGAGACAGAGAGGGAGAGACCAGAGAGGGATCATATGACCAGAGAGATTAGAGAGGAAGACTAGCGAGAGAGACCACACAGAGAGACTAGAGAGAGACCAGAGAGATCTGAGAGAGACCAGGGAGCCACGAGAGTAACGTGTGCTGGGGTGAAAAGGCCAGAGCCGTCTCATCCAGCTCATCTGTAATGAAGGAGTTGAGCAGGTGCAGCAGCAGTCAGGGCTTATCTCTCCCAGAATCCTCGTCTCCAGCGGCCCCCGGGGACCCTCCCCTCATCACCCCCGTTCCGTCCGTTAAGCGAGGCAATGACGTCTACAGAAAGCCATTCGCCGCTCACGGTTACACCATGCAGCTACCAACTCTTCGCTGACGGGAGATGAACATCCTCACTCCTCCCACGCACATTAAATCAACATAAAGTGGAGTTGCTGCCTGCTGCGCGGCACTGAAACAGCAGCTGGGGACATTATTTTGGGAGAGATGAGAGAGCTTTCCACAAACGCCGTAAGGAAAGGAAGTTCAGGATGGATAGTGGTGTTGCTGCAATCTGTGAAGTGGAAATATGATGGATTTGAGAAAATGATATATGGTAAAAACTATCTTTTACAGGGGAAACATTATATTAAAGAGGCCGGTGCTCTGTGATTTGGGTGGCAGCTCTGATTGCCACTAGAGTTTATTATTTTTCCTGAAAATGAGATATATAGAATCCCGGGAGAAGACGACGCATTTCCCAGGAATCCCGGGAAATAGCTGCTTTTTGTAGTTGTTGTTGTTTTTAGCCCGAGTAATGGATGATATCACTCAAATATGTATTCTATTAAACTTGAATCCATCAAAAGCTGCCATCTCCACTAGTGTTTCACCAAGCGACTTGCTAGGTTTGCTGAAGTAGCCATCTAGTGTTTTCAGACGTTTTGTTGCTTTCTTCAGGAATTTCACTATGCTGATATTCTAAATGTCTGCGCAATCCACTTGTCGACCGGTGACGTGCGGTGAGGTTTGGAGGCACTGACTTCAGTCTAATCAGATGTACATATATAGATCATATAAATCAACAGGACCTACAGAGCGGCTTATTCACAATTTGTTTGGCTACAGCAGAATATTTTCCATGCCTGCATTGTTTGCTCATACAAAACGCAAAAGATGGTAAAAGCACATTTCCAAGTGTGTTATGGGCCTAACCCATGGATCTATAATAATAACTGGATAGGGTACAGTATCTAGCTTATAGCTGTCCCACCCATGGGCACAGGGGGCGCCTGTGGTACTGCAGACTAAATTCACATGGGCTACCCAGAAAAAAGTCCCATAGAACTCAATGTAAATTAAAACAGCTCAACCTCGGCTGACAGAGAACCTACAGCTTTCATAAAGGTCGGATTTTGAGGGGATTTTAGTGTCCCTTGTCATCCTGAACTTTTTTTCTTCTTAAATCCTTCGGTTTATTTGAATCCACACTTTACTGCCACAAACGCTGCTCCTTTCCTTCCCGCTCTACCGCAGCTCTGATTGGTCAAAGCGCGGCCGAGCCTCTCTGTGTACGTGCATGATAGCCACACACATGTATTAGGTGCAACGCATCATGGGAGCTCGTCCTCTGCGCAGAACCGGGAGGACCAGACAATGCCCAAATATGGGCGAGTTCTGCTAATCTCCCGGTCCCTGTGAAGTCCCATGCGCTACAGAGCACAAGCCATTCATTTGAATAGGGCGCCATCTTGGATCACCGGGGCTTGGCCTTACCTTAGTTATTAATGAGCTGCACAGACCACTTCCGCTCTAGGCTGACCTTATCCATCCGTACACTCCGCTCAATCATCATTTCACTGCATGTAACGTCTGGGTCTGGTCCAGATATCCTCTAACCCTTCGCCTCTCTTCCTTATCATTCATATTGTCATTGTAAGCAAAACATTATCCTAGATGCATTTTAAATTATCTTAAATTGTATTATATGTATGTTAGCCAAACATGTTGTTGCCCTCAGCAGATGAAAAAAAGCTTTCTGATGGAATTGGATGCAGCCGAATTCTGCGCTCACATGCGCCACCCTCCATGAGGCTGGCCTCACATGGTGACATTACAAGCCGTGGTTGAGCACCTTTTAAACCCATATTTGTTTAAAAAACAGAATTCATGAGCCATCCTTTCAGCTGTATACATGTTGATTGTAAAGAACATATGTTTGAACTTCGTACAACAATAGACGCGCACTATAATAGGAGCGCACTGGAATTTTGTTTTAACTTTCATTTCCTGTTTCACGTCATAACATTTCCCGGGAATTGGGAAATAGTTTTGATCAGATTTCCCGGGAATCCCGTTTCCCAGGATTAAATTCTAATTGCCAGCTCCCACCCCAGAAATGGAAAAATAAAGGGGATGAAAATGAGATGACATTTTATTAACACTAGGAGCGCCCCTAGCGGTCAACTGACCGTCACTCACTTTAATGCTAATTAGTGTATTAAAAACAAAACGCCAGAAGTTGAAATGTTATGACTTTTACTGGGTACTTGTTGTTTATATTTTGGTGTGTTTTGGTTTTGGAAAAAGTAAAGAAAACAAGATTTACACACATTTTAACTTTTCTAAACCACAGCCCTTTCTGCTGCCCCATAGGGAAACATGGCGCAGGGGCGACTGTTGTCATAGTAACCATTTCCCGGGGTTTTTTCGCGCCTTATAAAAATGTATCAATATGTTGTCATTAGACTCTAAAAAAGGGACTTGAGTTTTTTTGATTATTATTTGGGAGAGAGAAAGAGTTTTGAATTGAGAGGAGTACAGAATGAATAGAGCTGCAAGTACACGGTATGAAGCCCTGACAGTGCTTCAAGACATTGAAGGAGAACAGTCTGACGGAGGTGAGAGATGTCACATTTTGAGGTAGAAAGTGACAGCGGGGAGAACACCTATAATATTCTAAATCTGAACGTAAACCCATAGTGCATTCACGGCACGGACAGCAGTGTTGTAACAAGTCCAGAAGCAATAACGCACATGAGCCGTGTAATGCCAGCCATACGCAGGTGTCTGTGTGCGCGCTGTCGCTCCATTCTGCCTTTTCATTCATCATCAATTACATTCTTATATTTATACATAGAAGAAGGCAATACAGCAGAATACAATATCGCAATAAAATAGAACAATAAGATGAACTATCAAGGCAGAGTGCAGAGAGAGCGCTGTGAGGCCTCTCGTCACCCGCGGACACTGCAGGAGGAGAGCGACTGTGGCAGGAGCGGCCCTCATCATATCAATAAGGATATCTTTCTTATTTCATTCAGATAACACTGTGTTATTCTGCACAGCGTGCACTGCAAGGCAATGATTATAATTTTGTTCTGATCATAAAGAGCACTGCTTGTCTCAAATAAATACATATATATATATATATATTTGTCTTTCTAACATGTCCCGTGTAAAATTGAAGATTGTACATTGACGATGGTAGCCTAGCTGCTGATCTCGTGTCAATACGAATACTATTATTATTATCTAGATAATATTTCCCACGGTGACTTCGGCTGGAAAGAGAAAACAGTCTGGAGATGACGTAAGAAGCAGACGCATATAGCAGCGCGAAGACGTTATGGTCCCGTGCTTTTCTAAACTATCATTTATATTGTTTGAATTTACATATTATAACTGAGTCAAGTTTAACATATAGTGACCAACCTTTTAGCTGTTTGCAAAGTTACAAAATAAATCTAGCCTGAAAAGTCATCCTAATTTTGATGGATCAGTACACGCACAATGTGTCGTCTTAGCCTTTTATTTCGGCTAGAATTACAATTACTTCGCATATTTAGACAAATAATTTACACAGTTTCATTATGATCACGATCACCTTGCAACATCAAGTTCTGGTTTAGTGAACAATCAATTTGGCAAAAGGCTGTGTCAGCGCAAAATACATAGCGGTCAACTGACCGCAGGGGGCGGTGCAAGGTATGTTTAGAGCACGGCGGTCCTAGTGTTAAAGGCATAGAATCAGAATCAGAATCATTTTTATTGCCAACGTAAGTAACAGGAGGTCACAGACTTGGAAATTGCTTTGGCTCAGTGCAACAGTCAAAAAGAGATAATAAAAATAAGAATAAAAAACACTTCTAAAGAATAAATTTAAATTTAAAATAGAGTTACAGTTACTATTTACAATATACAAGTGCACATGGTGCACACCATGTAAGGTGACAGCAGTACAGTGAAGTAAAGTGACGTATGATGGGCAGTAAAGTGACTTTATAAAGGGCGGGGGACAGGTTAAGAAGTGTTCAAGAGTCCAACAGCAGAGGGGAAGAAACTGTTCTTGTGGCGGGAGGTTCTAGTCCTGATGGACCGCAGCCTCCTGCCTGAGGGGAGTGGTTGGAATAGTCCATGTGCAGGGTGAGAGGGGAGTGGTTGGAATAGTCCATGTGCAGGTGAGAGGGGAGTGGTTGGAATAGTCCATGTGCAGGTGAGAGGGGAGTGGTTGGAATAGTCCATGTGCAGGTGAGAGGGGAGTGGTTGGAATAGTCCATATGCAGGTGAGAGGGGAGTGGTTGGAATAGTCCATGTGCAGGTGAGAGGGGAGTGGTTGGAATAGTCCATGTGCAGGTGAGAGGGGTCGGCTGTGATACGACCAGCCCGGCCTCGAGCTCGGGCGACGTACAGGTCCTGCAGCGATGGAAGGCTGCGGCCGATCACTTCCTCTGCAGAGCGCACAATGCACTGTAGTCTCTGTTTGTCCCTGACTGTGGCTCCAGCGAACCACACGGTGATGGAGGAGGTGATGGAGGAGGTGATGGAGGAGGTGATGGAGGAGGTGATGGAGGAGGTGATGGAGGAGGTGATGAGGAGGTGATGGAGGAGGTGATGGAGGAGGTGATGGAGGAGGTGATGGAGGAGGTGATAGAGGAGGTGCTGGAGGAGGTGATGAGGAGGTGATGGAGGAGGTGATGGAGGAGGTGATGGAGGAGGTGATGAGGAGGTGATGGAGGAGGTGATGGAGGAGGTGATGGAGGAGGTGATGAGGAGGTGATGGAGGAGGTGATGGAGGAGGTGATGGAGGAGGTGATGAGGAGGTGATGGAGGAGGTGATGGAGGAGGTGATGGAGGAGGTGATGAGGAGGTGATGGAGGAGGTGATAGAGGAGGTGATGGAGGAGGTGATGAGGAGGTGATGGAGGAGGTGAGGATGGACTCGATGATGGCCGTGTAGAACTGCAGCTTGGCTTTCCTGAGCTGCCGCAGGAAGTACATCCTCTGCTGGGCCTTCTTGATGAGGGAGCTGATGGTCGGCTCCCACTTGAGGTCCTGGTGATGGTGGTGCCCAGGAAACGGAAGGACTCCACAGAGGTGATGGGGGAGTCCATCACGGAGGGTGGGGGCGGGGGGACAGTGCTCTTCCTGAAGTCCACAATCATCTCCACTGTCTTCTGGGCGTTCAGCTCCAGGTTGTTACCACTGCACCAGGACACCAGCCGGTCCACGGATGTACAATGCTAACCCCCTAGCTTAATGAAGCTCGATAGGGAAGTTCTCATAGATGTATCATATTATCGGGAAAAGGTATTCCACGCTTAAGCGGTCTTCAGTAGTGGTGGAAGGTCTCTGGTTTCCCCAGAGACCTCAGTGTTCCTAAAACAGCTCGTCCTCAGCTGACGGGGAATCTACAGCTTTTTCACAAAGGAGGATTTTGTGTGTTTCCTTTGTCATCCTGAAAATGTTCTCTTTTTAAATCCATCAGTTTTTTGGATTTCTGCCAATGGATTTCACCAGGATCAGAGAGAGAGCTAAACCACAGATTTGTTTTAAGTGTGGCACAAAGGGTTACATGCGAGTCAATAGGAGCCAGAGAGAGTTGGAACAAAACTTGAGTTAGCGTCATACATCCATTTACAGTCTTTAGTGAAGACATAACCTCTTGGTTGTGGTAATATCGTAAAAAAGAGAAAATGTCAAACAAAAAGCATGATTTCAGTCCTTTTGTACTTTTCTTTTATGCAGTATCTAGAATGGACGATGTCATTAAGTCCTGACCCGCCTCTGAGAGAGTGGAAACACTGACATTTACAGGCGACGAGTGTTTTTGACCCGACTGAGCGCTTCGCTGCAGGAGGCGGAGATCAGAGCGGGCCGCGGCGTCCATAACAAAAACATTATGTTTCCAAATTGAATTATCTGCTCTCAGGGTTTGAATAAAGGTGCCGTTGGAGCATAAAGGATGACATTTACCGGGAGAGGGGAAGCGTAAGAGAGGATCACAGTGGGTCTAAACAGAGAGAGAGACCAGAGAGAGACCAGAGAGAGAGACCAGAGAGAGACCAGAGAGAGACCAGAGAGAGAGACCAGAGAGAGACCAGAGAGAGAGACCAGAGAGAGACCAGAGAGAGACCAGAGAGAGACCAGACTGAGAGATCAGAGAAAAAACAGAGAGAGAGACCAGAGAGACTTTAAATAAAGATAACTGACATATTACACTAGCGTTTATATGATGTTGTTGGAGTAAAAACGCTGTGAAAATCACAATAGCACAAAGCTCTGTAAAACAGCGAGGCAGAGCGAGGGAGCAGTGTATTATGAAAAATACTCAATACTGATGATACTACAGACAAAAACTATAGACATCACCTTTAACACTAGGACTCCCACATTTATGAAACTAATAGCACTCCCAGAGCGGTCATTTTGACTGCTCCCATTTAAACCAATTGAATTCTGAGAAATTGGCCCAAAAATGTGCACATTATTTATTTACAGTGATTCATGAGGTTTTTACCTTAACTAAATGTTAGTAAGTGCTAAAACTGGTGAATTTCACTTGAAATTTAAAATAAACTGTTTGTGATAAAGACCAAATGCTAACTGCTGACAGTAAACCCAGTGTTGGGAAGTAACACCATTACGTATTCAGAATACTCTTTTTGAGTAACTGTATTCCGTTACAGTTACTAGTAAGTAAGTTTTACTTATACAGCGCCTTTCACAGACCAAGGCCACAGAGCGCTTCACAGTTTAAATAGGTAAAAACAGACAAAATACAATTTAAAATGTGCTACAATTTTTTTTTTAAAAAAGGCCAAGACAACTCAGTGACAGGTTTGAAACAGCCGCAAAAAAATTATGTAAAAGCTTTCCCAAATAAATATGTTTTTAGCTGACCTTTGAATGAATCAACAGACTCCATCAACCGCAGAAAGAGCGGAAGATACTCTAACGTCTGGTATTTAGAATACAGTTACTTTCTGAAAATCATGGCAATACATACTTTCTCATATTACGTCTTCAAAGTAAAAAAAACGCCAATAAAGAAAACGTTGCGTCCATGAATTATGCATCTAACAAGTACGTAGTTCGTGAACACCACGAGGATACTGCGGTTTCAAAACATGGAGTCAGACTTGGAATCAGAGACCGCATCATCAGCAAACGGAACACGGAAACAACGCAAGTCGCCAATGCATTCGTATTGTGGAAGTCAAAAAAAGGCAATGATCCAATAAAAGTATTCATATTTGGAAAACAGTTACCATTTTTTTTCCAAAGTAACAAAATACTATAAAAAATACATTTTTTGGGCACGTATTCAGTATTCTGTAATGCAAAACATTTTCAAAGTATTCTACCCAACACTTGGTTGCTATGGTCACCCGCACTTGCTTAAATGTAGAACTACTCAACATTCAAAAAAATGATGAGAAAGAAAAGAACTAGGTATAGAAGCAGAAAAAGTCACACATTTATATGAAGACCACAAAAGGTACGTAGACTTAAAAGGCCAAAAATGATCACAACTAATGTATCCTCTTTCTTCCATACACGCATACGTTTAACCTCACAGTGGTTCCGGGGGTGGGCTGTGGGCAGGACTCACCGTGGGCTTGCTCTGGCTCTTGGCGGGCTTGCTGTAGGGGCTGTATTTGGGCTTGGCTGGTTTACCTGCCGCTCGGTCTTTGTGGCGCCGGCTGCTGATGTGCTGAAACCAAACACAGAAGTAAATATAGATTCTTGTGTCCGATGTAAGAACACACAGGTTAAATGTACAGCCGCAAGTATCAGCGCAGCCTGTCCTCGTGCCACCTCCACAGGAGCTGAAGGGGTTTCATCAAAGTGGATTACTGTTGGTTTCATGTTTGACAGATTACATACTTACAGCTGAGGTACAAAGCCACAAACAATTGAACAATGTAATACAATCACACACATGTATTCACATCTTTGGACTCTCTCTGGTCTCTCTCTGGTCTCTCTCTGGTCTATCTCTGGTCTTTTTCTGGTCTCTCTTTGGTCTCTCTCTCTGGTTTCTCTCTGGTTTCTCCCTGGTCTTTTTCTGGTCTCTCTCTGGTCTCTCTCTGGTCTCTCATTGATCTCTCATTGATCTCTCCTTGGTCTTTTTCTGGTATCTCTTTGGTCTCTCTCTGGTCTCTCTTTGGTCTGTCTTTGGTATCTCTCTGGTTTCTCTCTGATCTTTTTCTGGTCTCTCTCTGGTCTCTCTCTGGTCTCTCTCTGGTCTCTCTCTGGTCTCTCTCTGGTCTCTCTCTGGTCTCTCTCTGGTCTCTCACTGATCTCTCCTTGGTCTTTTTCTGGTATCTCTTTGGTCTCTCTCTGATCCCTCTTTGGTCTCTTTATAGTCTCTCACATTCATTTTTTTTTTTTTTGGACAGAAAAGCGGAAAAGAGAAGACAACAAATTCACAGGGGTCTTTTATATAAGTAAGTAAACAATAACATGTTTTCTATTTAAAAAAGTTTGAGATACTCTGAATCGCTGTACATGGCCTTGTCGTCCAGTTCCTGCTAACATACAACCTGGGGTACGACAAAAGAGTGTCTTGCTGAGGTTTTAGATTAGACTAGATAAGATTGCTGAGGTTTTGGGTGAAGCCTCTCTGTGCTTGTGTAGATTCCTGCTTTGATAAGTTGTGAGGTTGTAAGTTGTGAAGTGCTTTGTTTTGCTGACAGCGGCGCGACGTCCGCTGCCTCAGGAGAGGGCGAGCAAGGTGTTGATTCTTGGGAGGTACGAGAAAAACAAAGCAGAGGACAGGACTATAAATACACCTGTCCTCCAGCTGACAGACGACAGGGCGAGAGGGCAGACAGGGAGAGGGAGGGAGGAGTCCACAGCACAGGGAGAGACCAGAGAGAGAGAGAGATTAAAAAGAGGGATCGTAGAGAGAGACCAGAGAGATACCAAAGAAAGAGACCAGAGAGAGAGAGAGAGAGAGCGGAGGAAGAGGCTAGAAAGAGACCAAAGAGAGGTATCAGACAGTGTTAGCCTTAATGCGAACATAGCTGGAGCCAATCTGGGCATTTGTTCCAATGGCGCTAGCTTTGCGTCGTAACAGGGGCAGATGTGTTGCTAAGGCATGCTGGAGTTTTGCCTGTGAATAAAGGCATCTGATTGGTCAATCCTTATGTGTCTCATATCTGGATTTACAAAGACAATATAAACACTAGGATCACCGGGAGGAGTAAACCAGGGATTTAAACCCAAATAGGCGAGTGTGACGTCAACAGTTTCTGAGCTGGAGGAGTTCACTTTTACATGTAAGTCAATAGAAGTAAGATTGAATTGGAGAACTTTTATTATCAACTTGGGATATTAATTAACAAAATATGAAATGACAAAGTAACAGTTTTGTAATCATTTTGAATAGGCTAAAAATACCAGATAATATCTCCTCTTTAAGTTTCTCTGATTTTTCTCCTTTTTAAGCTTCAACAAGGTCTGTTTGTGTTTTTACTCCAGCCGTCGCCCGTAACTCCACCACTGGAATTAAGTCGACACCGCTCGCCGATCGCAAAACCCTGGGATCATGCACTTTGCGAGAGAGAAATCTTCCTTTTGTCATAGTTAAGCTGATAAGACAACATCCATGCCTGAGCAACGACCTCTGAGAACAGTATTTACTCGTCCACCGCAACCCTTGCCTTTGCGCTGACACAGGGGCAACTTTGACAATGTCTTTCCCCGTTTGGTGAGCTCCGGAGCCTGGAGTGCGTTTGGTCACGGAGGATAGAAATGGCCCGTGTTCAAAGTGCTCAGAGATTGACCCCAAAAGCGACTCAGCAGATTATTTTTAGACAGAAATCCCCCAGCGGTCTAAGGCGGCTGAACCACCACAAAAACACATCAGAAGAGCTCCTGCTACTGCTGACTGAGGAGCAAAAGTTTTTGAAATGGTTTTTAAGGCAGTGGGAAAAGAAACAAGCCGTGCATATTTGGGATTATGGTGGGGTATAATGCGTGTAGTGGATTGGAGCCTGGACAATTCTCCTAACCTCCTTCAGTGGATGTTGGCAAAGCAATTTGTATAGCACAATTCATACACAAGGCAACTCATAAATTATCAAAGTGTATTAAAAAGAGTGAAAAAAAAAGGGCCTTGAAACTCAGATATAACTTGTTTGTGCAGGTTGTTTTTCTATAGAATGGCCTCTAACCCGATTTTTGAGGAGGGAGACCAGAGGGAGACCAGAGGGGGACCAGAGTGAGAGACCAGATTGCAGAGAAAACAGAGAGAGAGCAAAGATAGATAGAAGGGAGATACCAGAAAGAGCCCAGAGAGACAGACCTGAGAGAGAACAGACAGAGAGACCAGCGAGAGACCAGAGCGAGAGAGACCAGAGAGAGACCAGAGAGAGACCAGAGAGATAGCAGAGGGAGACCAGAGAGAGACCAGAGAGATAGCAGAGGGAGACCAGAGAGAGACCAGAGAGATAGCAGAGGGAGACCAGAGAGAGACCAGAGAGATAGCAGAAGGAGACCAGAGAGAGACCAGAGAGAGACTAGAGAGAGACAAGAGCGTTGTTCCAACATTGTTCCCTTGTTAAAGACCTAGAATTGCATTTAGATCCATCCACGCTAATATCGCGAACTTTTGGCACAAACGAGTAGATCCGCACTTTCTGTCTAAAGTCTCCGGTCTCAGTCCAGTAACAGTCTCAGAGTTCTCGTGCATGTGGTACCTGCTTCAGCTGCGTCTCGGAGTTTACGTGCACGTCACAGATCTCGCAGAAGAAGGTCTTGTTCTGGAGCCCCGTGGAGGCTCCGGGAGGGGGGGTCACTTTGCTCTTGACTCCGGCTCGGGGGAAGGAGCGGATGACGCCGTGTCCGCTGCGAGCCTCCATCATGGTCTTGTGCTTCGTGCCTGTGGAGAGAAGCACCGGGGTCAGGAGCAGGGGTGATGTGTTCTCGAGAGGTTATACTGGAGGATCAGGGCTGAGAGAGACCAGAGAGAGACGCGAGAGAGACCAGAGAGAGACCAGAGAGAGACCAGAGAGAGACTAGAGAGAGACCAGAGAGAGAGAGACCAGAGAGAGACAACGAGAGAGACCAGAGAGAGACCGGAGAGAGACCAGAGAGAGACTAGAGAGAGAGACCAGAGAGAGAGAGACCAGAGAGAGACAGCGAGAGAGACCAGAGAGAGACCGGAGAGAGACCAGAGAGAGACCAGAATCAGACTAAAGAGAGACTAGAGAGAGAGACCAGAGAGAGACCGGAGAGAGACCAGAGAGAGACCGGAGAGAGACCAGAGAGAGACCAGAGAGAGACTAGAGAGAGACTAGAGAGAGAGACCAGAGAGAGACTAGAGAGAGACTAGAGAGAGAGACCAGAGAGAGAGAGACCAGAGAGAGACAGCGAGAGAGACCAGAGAGAGACCGGAGAGAGACCAGAGAGAGACTAGAGAGAGACCGGAGAGAGACCAGAGAGAGACTAGAGAGAGACTAGAGAGACGTGACAGAGACTAGCGAGAGATAGACCTGAAATAGACTAGAGAGAGACCAGAATCAGACAAAAGAGAGACTAGAGAGAGAGACCGGAAACTAGAGAGAGACCAAAACACCAGTGATAGAAGAAAACTGTTTTAGAGCCAGGATCATCGTGTCCCTGGTCCATCTGCAGGCCAATGCTCTCCTCCAGTACTCCGCTGCTGAACTTTTAAAACTTCGGCACCACGTCCCCGCTCCTCTTCAGCCACCGGAGCGCGGACATGACATCCCCCCGGGCATCGCCTTCCAGCCCCGGCGGCGGTACGTTCACCGTGGATCACGCCGTAAGCTCCAATACAAGGACTCCCATTCAATAAAGTCCCTCTGGTCCACCACTCGCCGCTGCTCCCGCACCGCTGGTCGGGACGCTGACAGTGTCCTGGTCAGCGTGGCCCGATCGGCTCAGCCCGCGGCAGCCAAGAACAGCTCCACCACCGTCAGCTTCGGTCTCCTCAACGTGCGCTCCCTCAACACCAAGGGCCATCTGGTCCGGGATGTCCTCGTCGACCGTAAGCTGGACTTCTTGTGTTTGACCGAAACCTGGCAGCAGCCAAATGACTTTGCCGCGTTGAACGACTCCACTCCACCGGGGTTTGTTTACATCTGCCAGCCCCGCAGCTGTGGCCGCCGGGGCGGAGGTCTCGCGATGCTTCACCGCGAGACTTGGAAAGTCACACCTGTGCCTGCTGCCCCTGTCTTCTCCTCCTTCGAGTACTCTGCCTCACTGCTGCCTGGACCTTCTCCTACTGTTGTTGCCACCATCTACCGCCCGCCAAAACTTAATCAGGACTTTTTAAATGACTTTTCTCACCTTCTAACACACTTCTCATCTATCTCTCATAACGCAGTCATACTTGGGGACTTCAACATTCACATGGACAATAATAGCAACCCTCTCACCAAAGACTTCTCCTCCTGTTTAGATAGTTTTGGTTTACAACAACACATTAATTTCCCCACCCACACTAAAGGTCACATTTTGGATTTAATCTGCTGCTCTGGTCTCACTCCCACTGACTGTAAACCTCACACACTCACATACACAGACCATAAGCTCATCACCTTCAATATCAACCTCACCCTCTCCAAGACCATCCTTCCCCGAACCATTTCTTTCCGTAAAATTCAGGACATAAACACTGCCACCTTCGCCTCAGATATCAATAACCTCCCCACTACTGATCCCAATGACTCCCCCGATGACCTGGTCTCCCACTACAACACTTCTCTCCATAACCTCCTGAACAATCATGCTCCTCTCAAAACCCGACCCGTCTCTTTCACGCTCTCAGCACCCTGGTTCACCCCTGCCCTCCGTCAGCTCAAATCCCAAGGACGTCAACTTGAACGGCTCTTCAATAAAACTGGACTCACCATTCACAAACAAATGTACAATAACCACATCATGCTATACAAGGACCATCTCTCTGCTGCCAAATCCACCTACTACTCCGGTTTAATCCACTCCAATCATCAAAACTCCAAAACTCTCTTCTCTCTTCTCACCAATATAACCAAACCCCCTGACTCCCTCCCTCACCATATGCAATCCACTGACTTCTGTAACTCACTCATGTCCTTCTTTACCTCCAAGATCTCTGACATTCACCAACACCTGACCCCGCATGGAGCTGCAGTCTCTGGAGTGGACCCCCCAGCCCCCTACTCATCCCTCATAGCCACATTCTCCAGCTTCATCTTGCCCTCCGTCCAAGCCATCTCCGACTTTATCATTAAATCCAAACCTTCTACCTCTCAGCTCGACCCTCTCCCTACCGTTCTGGTCAAATCCTGCCTCCCCTCAGCTGCCCCCCTTATCACTAATATCATTCATTCATCTCTCACCTCTGGTACTGTCCCTCTCTCATTCAAAACCGCCTCAGTCTCACCCATTCTCAAAAAACCTGGCCTGGATCCAACCAACTTCAACAACCTCCGTCCCATCTCAAACCTTCCCTTCATCTCCAAAATACTTGAAAAATCTGTCGCTGCTCAACTCCACAACCACCTCACCACCAACAACTCTACGAACAATTTCAGTCTGGTTTCCGTCCCCTCCACAGCACCGAAACAGCTCTTCTAAAAATCACTAACGATCTCCTCATAGCCTCTGACTCCGGTTTACTCTCCATCCTCATCCTTCTGGACCTCACTGCAGCTTTTGACACCATTTCTCACTCCACCCTCCTGAACAGACTCTCCTCCATCGGCATCACCCACACCCCCCTCGCCTGGTTCACCTCCTATCTTTCTGGTCGCTCACAGTTCATTCATCTCAAATCCCACAAATCCCGCACTTTTCCTGTCTCTGCTGGTGTGCCCCAGGGCTCTGTCCTGGGGCCCCTCCTCTTCATCATCTATATTCTCCCACTCGGTCACATCCTCCGCCGTCACAACATTCACTTCCACTGCTACGCGGATGACACCCAGCTCTACCTCTCCACTAAACCATGTTCCTCTCTCCCTCCATCCTCCCTCACCCTCTGTCTACAAGAAATTCATTCCTGGTTCTCTTCCAACTTTCTCAAACTCAATAGCTCAAAAACTGAAGTCCTTCTCATAGGCACCCCCTCCACTCTCTCCAAATCTACCAGCTTCTCAATCTCCATCCATAACACATCTGTCCTCCCCTCCCCTCAAGTCAAGAGCCTGGGTGTCATCCTCGACAGTTCACTCTCCTTCCAATCCCACATCAATAACATCACTCGGTCTGCCTACTTCCACCTGCGCAATATCTCTCGTCTCCGCCCCTCTCTCACCCCCCACACCACCGCCATCCTCGTCCACAGCCTCGTCACCTCAAGGATTGACTACTGCAACTCACTTCTCTTCGGCCTCCCCAACAAATCCCTCCAGAAACTGCAGCTCCTCCAAAACTCTGCAGCTCGTATCATCACCCGGACCCCCACAGCTCACCACATCACCCCCGTACTACAACAACTCCACTGGCTTCCTGTCAAACAGCGCATCAATTTCAAAATACTCCTCACCACCTTCAAAGCACTTCACAACCTGGCCCCTCCGTACTTATCTGACCTCCTCCACCCTCACATTCCTGCCCGCACACTCCGCTCCTCCTCCACCCTCACACTCTCCGTCCCCCCAGCCAGACTCATCACTGTGGGACACAGAGCCTTCAGCCACTCTGCCCCCCAGCTCTGGAACTCTCTCCCCCCTGACCTCCGTACCATTGACTCTCTTCCACTCTTCAAATCCCGACTCAAAACCCATCTGTTCAGACTGTCCTACCCCACCTAACACACACGCGCGCACACACACACACACACACACACACACCCTCCTAACTCACACACACACACACACCATCCCATATTGCACCTGACTACTGTTTTATTCTGTTTATCCTGTTTTTAAATGTTTTTATTATGCCTGTACAGTGTCCTTGGGTGTTTTGAAAGGCGCTTTTAAATAAAATGTATTATTATTTTTATTATCTATATAGTTCCATGGATTAAACCCTTTAACATAATATTGGTCAAAGTATTTGTTGATACAAGCTTCACTGTCCTTTTGCAGATTTACCAATGAACAAGAACACAATGTCTTGTTCCCTGTTTGTTTTTTGTGACATTTCTCACTGAAATAAGAAATAAACATTAGGCTGAAGCTGCTTTTTTAATATCAAATCTTGTTTTCATTTCATAATTTTTCTGTGAAAATATTGCAGCGCTACAAAAATATATATTTTAACTAGGGCTGTCAAACAATAACAATTTTTAACCCAGTTAATAACATATTAAATATAATTGTTTGCATTTCGAACTATCAGCAAAATGATGCCATATTTTTTCTTTAAATGGTTGTTTGAATGGAAAGATAAATGACAACATAGAGTACAAATGTACTGTTTTAGTTTATTATAACAACAGTAAAGCTACATAAAATGGCATTAACATTATTAACATTCTGTCTTAGACACAGAACAAATCTATTTGTTACAGGGATGAGGGACATTTCAAAACAGTCTGTCCCAATGTCGTTAAATCTGTTTGAATTGTTCACAACATTTATTTTTGGGCACAACCAACATGAGCTGTTAATGCAAGGCAATATGTACGTAACCCAGCTTTAATTTAGCGAGTTTGTTGTGTTTCGGGAGGAGACACAGGGGAGACACGGACACTTCCTGAGACTCCGTAGTTCAGCTTCAACAGCAAGTGCCCCGCGGTCACATGCATATTCCTTTAAAACTTGACAGAGCAGGTAGGTCCTCTGGGAATTCAACATCTTTCACACACATGTGTCCGCGGCATTCTGAGTGTTATTATGGGATGCAGGGGCGAGTTAATTTTTTTAACACGATTAATGAAAGAAAGAAATTAACGTTCGTTGACGCGATAATTTGGACAGCTTTAATTTGAGCGCATGGATCATGTAAGTATAGACACAGAGGACAGAGGTATTTTGAATAACTTAAAAAATGACTGGTGGTTATTTAAAAGTGAGATCGCCTCTCTCTCTGTGAGGGGTGGACTGACAGAATGTGACATCACCATAATGTATCCTTAATGTGGAAGAAACCAATTTAAGGTTTAACATAAACTAGCTGGAGCCCATGTCCTTTATGGGGAATTTGTTCCGACAGCGTTAGCTCCACGCCATACCAGGGGCTAAGAGAATCTGGAGTTTCCACTGTGAATGAAGTCAACTGGTCAATCCTGAAATGGCTCATGTCTAGTTTTACAAAGACAATATCTGTGACAAAGTGTGACACAAACGGTTACAGAGCTAGATGAGTTTACTTTTACATGTAAGTTAATAGGAGCTAAAGCAAGTTGGGGCCAAACTTCGTCCATGAGCATTTCCTTATAGGGCTACATTGAGCTAGCAGGTTAGCCTTGTCCATTCAGTCAATGAGCGCATCATACCCTTTCTCTGCAGCTTTAGGCAACACTACTGTATAATTGCCGCAATATTTGCACAATGATAGAATTTGCATCGGGTGTCTTGCTAATTAAGGGTATTACACTTTCACATACTGTGATGACATATTTCCACCCAGCTCTTGGACAGTGCAATGTGTGGTTCTCCCATTAAACCTGGATATGAGTAAAACGGGATTGTCAGGCCTGGAGCAGCAGTCGCACCTGGACACAGCTCTGCAGAGGAACCAGAGGAGCGAGCCAAGTCTGGTAAACATCCTCGTAAAGACGTGAGCTGCAGCGCCCAGAGCCCACTCTCACTCACCATCAACTCTCTCCAATATCACCTCCTATAAATCCACTTTTATGTCTGTTTCATGAATACATTGTGTTTGTCCAACAGAAAGTGTTGTTTGAGTAACGAGTTGTGAATCAATCCGACCACGATTTGCTTTCTTTATCCCACTGGAAAACATGTGATTTTTTACATAGTGAGCTGATTGGACAAGAGAGAGGGAAAGACCAGAGAGAGACCAGTGAGAGACCAGAGAGAGAGAGAGCCAAAGAGACCAGTGACAGACCAGAGAGAGAGAGAGCCAAAGAGAGACCAGTGAGAGACCAGAGAGAGAGAGAGCCAAAGAGACCAGTGACAGACCAGAGAGAGAGAGAGCCAAAGAGAGACCAGTGAGAGACCAGAGAGAGAGAGAGCCAAAGAGACCAGTGACAGACCAGAGAGAGAGAGAGACAAAGAGAGACCAGTGAGAGACCAGAGAGAGAGAGAGCCAAATAGAGACCAGAGAGAGACCAGAGAGAGAGAGAGCCAAATAGAGACCAGTGAGAGACCAGAGAGAGAGAGAGCCAAATAGAGACCAGAGAGAGACCAGTGAGAGAGAGAGCCAAAGAGAGACCAGTGAGAGACCAGAGAGAGAGAGAGCCAAAGAGACCAGTGAGAGACCAGAGAGAGCCAAGAGAATGGGACAAGAGAGGGAGAAAGAGAGACAGAGAGAGAATCAGAGAGAGACAGAAGAGAAAGGCACCAGAGAGAGAGATCAGAGAGAGAGGGAGAGACCAAAGAGACACCAGTGAGAGAGATCCAAAAGGAGACCAGTGAAAGACAAGAGAGATACAAGAAAAAAGGGACCAGAAAGAGACTACAGAGAGACCAGTGAGAGACCAGTGAGAGACCAGAGAGAGACCAGAGAGAGACCAGAGAGAGACCAGTGACAGACCAGTGAGAGACAGAGCCAAAGAAAGACCAGAGAAAGACAAGAGAAAAGGACCAGAGAGAGACTAGAGAGAGAGGGAGAGACCAAAGAGATACCAGTGAGAGAGAGATCCAAAGCGAGACCAGTGAGAAAACCAGAGAAAGAGAAGAGAAAGAAACCAGAGAGAGAGAAGAGAGAGAGAGGCCAGATGGAGGCCAGAGTGGAAGAGAGAGATAGAGAGACCATCTGCGAATTCCCATTCCACACATTATACTTGTATGGAATGGGAATGTAAGCTGGAGACCCCTCTTCAGGGTCAGCTCAGTCCTCTGACTAGAACAAGCATCTCACGGCTCTTTAACAAGAAAAGGAAAGGGAGGGGTGAGAGAAGAAGACTCAAGAGAAGGGGAGCCTCAGTCCTGGTTGCCTCTCCGTGGAGTGGATGCCTCTCTCAATAGATAGATGGATGGATACTTTATTGATCCAATGTAGGAGAAATTCAGAAAAGCACTCAATACTGAACAAGAGATGAAAACTGGAGTCGTGTCCATAGGCGCATAAATGTTTCCCTCTATACTTATATACGGCAGGATGTAATCGCACAGTTTCCATAGAGACACAGGTGGCTCGCAGATAAACAGTTATTTTAGACCTCGCAACCATCTTCTATATGTTCTAGTTTCTTTCAGCTGTTCTGAGCTCAGGCAGAAGCACAGCACGAACCCTTAACGAGGCTATCGCTGGGGTTTTATTCAATGGAGCCTGAAGAAATGCAAAGAATTCACCTCAAACTCTAAGATCCAGCTTCACTTTTATCGCTGCATGATTGAAATTCTGCTCGTCGGTTCTGTGACTGTGCGGTTTGGTGACATCACAGCTAAAGAAAGAGCTCTAAACAAGGTGCTCCGTTCTAGTAGAGGATTGTGAGCTGTGAACTGCCTGTTCTGGACGTTCTTTATAAATCCAGAATCATAAACTGAGCTCTTAGAATTATCAATGACTCTTCTGCCCACCCTGGAAAAGCCATGTTCCAGCTTCTTCTTTCTGGCAGAATATATCGTTCGCTATTGTATGCTAACTGCTTCTTTCCACAAGCAGTTATCGGTTTGAGCAAAGCACTTTAAGAATCTTGCACTTGTTTTGAAATGTTTTGTTGTTGATTGGTTTCACAGTTACAATTGTTTTATGTATTGCAACTTGGTTTGACTGAAAATGCAAATAATCTGAATCGAATGACTGAAATACTAGAGAGCCATGTTCATGTTCAACTCATCCACACATTCTGAGAACATATTTAGCCTTTATCGGAATACTGAGATTGTAGAGAGGGATACTGAAAATAATACTGAAATTCTCAAATGAAAAGACATTGTTTCTGATCAAATTAAAGCTGGGGAACCTAACCTTTTCCATGTTGTTTGTCCCAACAGAAAGAGTCCAAATCAGTCCAATACGAGCTGTTTAGAAAACATGTTATCTTCTGCATAGTGTAGGGAAAAGCCCTTTGAGTCACTATTTGAAGATTTGAGTAAGGTCCACTCTTTCACTTTTCTAGGCAAAACATTCATGCATGTGAGAGACCAGAGAGAGACCAGAGAGAGAGAGAGACCAGAGAACGAGACCAGAGAGAGAGAGAGACCAGAGAGGGTCTAAAAAGAGACCAAAGAGAGACCAGAGGCAGACCAGAGAGAGCAGAGACCAGAGAGAGACCAAAGAGAGACCAAAGAGAGACCAGAGACAGACCAGAGAGAGCAGAGACCAGAGAGGGACTAAAAAGAGACCAAAGAGAGACCAAAGAGAGACCAGAGAGAGACCAGAGAGAGACCAGAGAGAGACCAGAGAGAGACCAGAGAGAGACCAGAGAGGACCAGAGAGAGACCAGAGAGAGACCAGAGAGAGACCAGAGAGAGACCAGAGAGACCAGAGAGAGACCAGAGAGAGACCAGAGAGAGACCAGAGAGAGACCAGAGAGAGACCAGAGAGAGACCAGAGAGAGACCAGAGAGGACCAGAGAGAGACCAGAGAGGACCAGAGAGCAGAGAAAGACCAAAGGTAAGATTAGATGTACTTTATTCATCTCACACGGGAGAAATTTACAAAGTGAGACAAGAGAGAGACCAGAGAGAGAAGAAGCAGCTGTGACAGAGGCACATACTGTACATGCATGTGAAAAACAGTGATAGAACTGTTTGAGAGCCAAAAACAACAGTCACTACAGTTTTATTACATTGTTAAATATGTTGTGGTTTAATTTCTGACTTTTTTGGCTGAGCGACAATTGGATCTGAGTACAGCACTTTTCAGTCTGAAAAGCGGATCCAAAGATGTGAGGCCAAAAACAAACATATGTAAAAACTAGTGCTGGAACTGTCTTGAGTTTGATGGTTTGTTGTGGTTTGAAAGTCAGGTACCGCAGCTTTAACGAATCAGACAACTCCACATTGTCCGAGTACTCACCGCTGTTGTGAGCGTCGAGCTGGGAGGCGGAGTTAACGGCCACTTTGCAGAGCGAGCAGTACAGCAGCCTGCGCGCCTTCTCCTCCTCAGACTCCTTGTCCTCCGGTCCAAGCTCCGCCTCCTGCTCCAGCTCTGAGGGGGGGTCTGTGAGGGGGGGCTCTGGGGTCACAGCCACCGGGGACACGTCTGTGGAGAGAGGTTAGAGTGAGTTCTGCCTTCAAATCAAGCTTATTACACAAACAGTAGTAAAGTGCTTTGGATGGCCGTGGTCTGTGAAATGTGTTATATATTAAAAAAAATAAACTACTTTCAGCATGCGTACACATTTTAGAAGGATATAATCAATACGTTTTATCGAGCAATTTTTTGTACTCTCAAAGACGCTTCACAGCACTATTAATTCACTCCAAACACAGTCGTGATACACTACTAAAGCCACAGCTGCCCCGAGTCTCACTGACAGAAGCAAGGCAAAAAGTCTGTGCCGTCGTCCCCTCCCGCCACCAACCAATCATACACACCAGACTCATACTAATTACAACCAGAATGATGAGTAACAGAAAGTCACAAAGTAGCAATTTTCTTTGATGTATGGTGCAGACAAATAATAAAAAAGGGTCAAATAGCTATAAAAGAATAAAAAAATACATTCTATTTATTTTTAAATACACATAATATTCCTTAAACAGTACAGAATATCAAAACATGTCCAGAGGTATGGGATTTATGACACAAAGTGACTGAAGAATAAAAGCATGATTATAGAATTTTTTGTCATTTGTGATTTATTTTTCACATTTCAGGAGGCACGTGTGGAGGCATAGAGTAGATTTGCACAGAGAGGGTCAAAGGCATCTGTGGAGAATTGATGAAGAGGGATTGACAAAGTTAGTGAAGAAGAGTTGCAATAGTCGTACTAGACCCAGAGGTAGACCAAGGTATGGATGGTGTTAGTATTAGATAGCAATATGGCCTACGTGCAGGACTCTACAAGGACTCTGATTATTTTGACTCTGATGTGACTGTCTCTTTGTGACACGTACGTCTTTCCATGTGTGACGTGACAATGACTATATAAACTGTGTACTGCCTTTGTTCTGTCTGAGAGAAAGAAACAATGGAAACCACTGGAACTTGAGAGAAACTTAAATAAACTTCCAGAGTTTGGCGCACCACGATCCGTCTCTGTCTGCTTCATCCCTGACAGATTTGGTGGAGAATGCGCGGCTCAGTGTGCGCCATTCTCTGGATTGTTTTGAGGAAGTTTATTTAAGTTTCTCTCAAGTTCCAGTTGTTTCAATTGTTTCTTTCTCTCAGACAGAACAAAGGCAGTACACAGTTTATATAGTCATTGTCACGTCACACATCGAAAGACGTACGTGTCACAAAGAGACAGTCACATCATAGTCAAAATAATCAGAGTCCTTGTAGAGTCCTGCACGTACAGTAGGCCATATTGCTATCTAATACTAACAATGGAATTATGGAATGAAGAGAGCGTTGAATGAGAGGGATGACCCAACGGGTAACCCAGGGCCATGAACCTGCCGTGTGCCGTGGTGGCTCCGGGAGGGAGTACTGCTGAGGGGTCTATGGTGTGAATGTGAATGTGATCAAAACTTCTTTCTGTAGTCAACCACACTCCAAGGAAGGAAGTTGGAAGTTGTTTTATGGCTATAGATAAATGGATAGAACGCACATTTGAGGATTAGAATGCATTGTTGTTACGTTGGAAGTCAATTTTCAATGCAATCTAAATCTTGACCGCACGCCTCATATTAGCTCCATCCACCTGCAGCCGGTTCCATCTCTTGCTGGTATTTTTGGCAGGATCGATGTCTGGGCCTAAAACAGCAGCAGGTTGATGCTGAGGCCACTTTTACAGATTAAATCCCCTCGCGGTCGATGCTGCGCCGCCGTGTGTTGTGCGGCTGATCAATTCTGAATGATGTCACAGTTTTTCTGAGATTAGATTAGATTCTGAGTGTTGGCCCTGGATCTGGCATCGTGCTCCTGTGTAACAGTGGGATATGACAGGGAGGATACAGCCCTGTTTCCACCAACTGTACTCTACTCTGCTCCACCCAAATCTACCCTTCTCTAGGTGATGTGCGGTGGAGGAGTTTGCCTTTCCATTGAAGTGATTGGAGGCAGCAGGTTAGCATGGTCTCTATACATACCCAGTAACGATAACGGTGTTGTAACGATTACTAAGTATGTTATTATGAAAATAAAGCACAACATTTTTGGGGCGATTAGACAACATAACATACATAATAAACGCGCGTGCACCCGCAAATGCGTAATTTTCGGCCACAAAGGCGGTGTTTGATTACTTTGACATTTTCAGTATAGAAACTGTGCTCGGTTCAGGTGGGAGTTAAGAGGTGTTGGTGGCGTTTAGCATGAACCGCGCCGACATTTGATCGAGTTGAAATTTCTTTACTATCTGTCATAAAGTGAAAGGAGCCTGTGCTTCCTTTATTTAGGACAAGACATTTTTAATAGCCTATCACTCAGGCGAGCAAAAACCGAGCACGTTTTCTCCAGTGTTAAATAAAAAATACTTAGTAATTAGGCCAACACATTTAAAATAGTTACTAGACTGTAGTAAACTGTTTGTCAAACGGTCGCTATTGTAAAACACACAACTCACACTGAGAGAGGGATTCAGACTGCAGACATCACTTAAGTCCAAACTTTAGCAGGACTTCTCTTGTACTGCTTTTGTAATGAGCTTGATAAACATGTAAAACTTTAAATACAATTGGAATTCAACTCCACAATCAGCACCAACCAAACTGCAGGAATAAAAATGCCAATTTTACAACATGACATTTCCTTTTGACAAGGAAAGAAGATAACAAGCTGATAATGTTACGTAATTGCACACAAGCAACCAAAGGGTGTGCAACCAAAACTGCCTCAGACAAGAATCGAACCCGGATCCACCGGGTCCTAACCTGCAACGCTAACCATTCGGCCAACATAGTGTATCTAGGCAAAACAAGTTTGTACGCAGTCTTATACCTGAGCGTTTAAGTCGCTGGCAGAGCTAAAGCGGACTTAACCTGCCACCTAGTGGCGATAGGATGTAATATGTTTCACGCAGCTGCGTGAAGACGACAAAACGAAATGGGACCTACTGTACAGTGCAGTCTACAGGCAAAATACATGTGCAGAGAGTTAGCAATGTTCATCGTACAGTCTGACAAAACACACCTTGTATATTTGCATCTAAGGCATGCAGGTAAGCAGCTCGGCATTGACCTCACCCCCCACTTCCCTCCTTTACCCTCCGCTCGACCGGACAAATATGGACTCCCTCCTCTCTCATTAACAGAACTAATGACTGTGATAAATCTGCGGAGGTGAGACACGCCGAGGACAAAGCTGCAGCAAAGAGACAGACTCGGACACTAGTGAAAGAGATTCAGACACAGAGGAAAGACTCGGACACAGAGGAGAGAGACTCGGACCCAAGGGGAAGTGAATAGATGTGTGGACATGGCTTTAAAAGAGAGACACAGTTACAGGCTGGTGACAACAAAGTCACCAGCCTGTAAGTGTGGAGAGCCTCTTTGACTTGCATCTGTGAAAAAGTCTTTGCTCTACAGCCTCAGTCCGGGATCTAAAGCCTTTTTCGTCTGTGGGAGCAAATCTCCCCCTAATGCCCATTGGGGTCTAAGGACATTGATGATCATGGACATTTCTGCACACTTATAAACATTTCTGGACAGAGGTCATCCTGCTCCCTACTGACCAATGGCTCCTATGTGTTTGGCGGCACGGTGGCACAGCAGTTGGAGCTTGTGTTTCTCAGCAAGAAGGTCCTGGGTTCCATTCCACCTCCAGGCCTTTCTTTATGGAGTTTGCATGTTCTCCCTGTGTCTGCATAGATTTCCTCCAGGTGTTCCAGTTTCCCCTACCACCAGAAACATACATACAATAGGTTTGTATGTAAAGATTGAGTGAAAGGACGGTGTTGATTGTTCGGCGTCTAATTCTAAGCTTCTATAATTTCTAATTGCCAAAACAATAAAATTGCAAAATCATATTTCCCCCCGTCTCATCTTTGTCTTCAGACTTATATTATTATCTTTTTATTTTTCAACTTTTGAAACAATGATCAAACCAAGATGGGGCAAAAACCAGAACCAAGACCAGAATTGGACTAAAACCGAACCCAAGACCAGATTGAAGACCAGACCAGGACCACATCACCTAAAAAATAGTGTCTGTAGTATATATATTTTTGTTTATTTTTATACATGTTTGGAGTGCCACAAGTAGAAGTAAAACTACACCAAGAAATATTTTTTATTGTTTCTATTCTTATTGACAATATATCTTCTTTTTACCCCTATTGTCTTATGTGTGTTTGATGTGTGCATAACCCGAGTGCTCCTACGTTCTCTTTTTGATGTAATGTGCACAACTACAACATCAGAATTATCTCTGTTCTGAACTTTGACCTTTCTTTCAAATATTACATTCCTCTCCAAACTGCAACCTCTCTGTGACTCCTCTCACGCACGTGTGATCGAACATGGACCCGGTCTGAAGGGCACTGTCTGGGCGCGAGTGTGTGTTTGTGTGTGTCTGTCTGTGTGTGAGTATGTGTGTGTCTCTCAGCTCCCACAATCTGCTCTTTAATGGCTAATATCAGGCTACATTTCCTCTGGCGTTGGAGTGGAACCGGGAGATGGCAGCCAGCGCCAGGGGTACAGACACACGCGCATACTCACACACACACACACGCACGCACACGAACACACACACACACACACACACACACACACTCGCACACACACTCACACACTTTACCCCTCATCACTGCTGAGTCATGGCTCTAATCTGATTTCATATCCACACACGTTGCTCTAAGCACTCGGACTGAGGATATTACTACAGATTAGAAAATGTTTTTAGTATTCTGAACAAGTAAAAGATATTAACAAGATTTGCTAATGCGCACTCATGTTGCTATTATTAAAGCTAAGGTACTTTTACTTTACTTTCAATCGGAACTATGCAATAGATTTCAATTAACTCGCTCATCACTAGAGCTGAAACAACTAATCGATTTAATCGATTAAAATCGATTATTAAAATAGTTGTCAACTAATTTAGTCGTCGATTAGTTGCTAGATAACTTTTATTTTGCCGTAAGCGGCTCATTTCGT